AGGTCAAGGCAGGAGGTTTAGTGGTCTTTGGCGTCTCCCTGTGGTTCTGTTTGGTATCGCAGCTTGACTTGTGCTAATTTTTATTGAAAACGTTTATTTAATTATTGATTGATCCTCTCACTATGCATACATTTGTGAATTATGAAAATTTAAATATATTTATTTAATATAAATCCAATCAGTGAGTATCGAAACTTAATTTTTTCCACTTCAAACGCTGGATCACAATCTTTCCAATCAATCAAGTTTGGAAGCATATATATATACATACATACAGAGAGAGAGAGAGAGAGAGAGATTGCCCAGCACAATCGTTACCATTTTTTTTAACAAGTACGAACATCACAACCCTAAAGAGTAGCTGCAGCAATGCTGTATAAATACATTTATATGTGTACAGTACATTTATCTGTAGAAATGTGTTGTGTGTAAACTGAACATTCACAGTTGCTTGTTGTGGAAGATCTGTAAGAATGAGTGGTAATGTTGTGAGGGCATAATAATTAATTATTGATTACTAATTTGAATCAGTACATTAAAACGAAAACAATGGTCTTTGCGAACTCCTGGAATGTCCAAGGATCCAGTAAGCGAATTCAAGCAATAAGTTCAAAACAGCGCTAATACAGAGAATAGTGACTTGCGTCCAGATGTCAGTAAACTATTTGGCCTAAAAGCAAGAGTGTTTTATAATGGATGCTGGCTGAAGGTGTGTTAGATTATGCGGTGGTCAGTGGTTTAGTGATTCTGAATGGATCCATATACAGTCAGGTCAAGGCAGGAGGTTTAGTGGTCTTTGGCGTCTCCCTGTGGTCCTGTTTGGTATCTTGTGCTAATTTTTATTGAAAACGTTTATTTAATTATTGATTGATCCTCACACTATGCATACATTTGTGAATTATGAAAATTTAAATATATTTATTTAATATAAATCCAATCAGTGAGTATCGAAACTTAACTTTTTCCACTTCAAACGCTGGATCACAATCTTTCCAATCAATCAAGTTTGGAAGCATATATATATACATACATACAGAGAGAGAGAGAGAGAGAGATTGCCCAGCACAATCGTTACCATTTTTTTTAACAAGTACGAACATCACAACCCTAAAGAGCAGCTGCAGCAATGCTGTATAAATACATTTATATGTGTACAGTACGTTTATCTGTAGAAATGTGTTGTGTGTAAACTGAACATTCACAGTTGCTTGTTGTGGAAGATCTGTAAGAATGAGTGGTAATGTTGGCTTTTATTTTCATTAATTTTATGTTATTCTATTTTATAACATCTAATTCAGTACTACTACGTGTATGGTTTACAATTTAAATAAATTAATAATTTTTTTTATTTTACTTTTTTTTTCAAATTCAGAACAGCAAATACCATGATGTAAGGTTCACAATTTAAATATTTTTTTATTAATATTATTTAATTTTATTATTTTGTTTTACTTTATTGATTTATTAAAAAAATGTATTTGGGGTGAAATATAAGCTGGATATTTTAAATGTATGTATAGTTATATTTTTCATTTATTATGATTTTTTTTTTATATATATACAAAATTACATACCACATATAATATGACGTATGGTTCACACTTTTAATAATAATTTTTTTTGCATTATTTTTTACAAATTAGGAAGGTTTTTATGTGATTAACTGTCATGAAAGTAATGTCATAATGTGACTAATTTATGTAAAAATGTAGTATGAATAATATTTATGTGAATATATACTTTTGGACAGTTTTTGTGAGATTCACTCAGTTCAGTTATTTTGAGTTATTTTGAGGTTTGCTCACACAGAGCGTCCCGGTGGATTTCAGCTGGTCTTGTGCTGTAAAACTGAACAGATTATTATCTTTATGGATGAAACTAATCTGACTGTCGTCATCAGGAGCACAGAAAGCCGCTGAGAAGACTAATATTTTGGGGTGTTGTTGTAATATGCAAATGTGAATATGCTCTGAATATAAGACTCAATGGTAAAAGATATTCAAAGCAATATATTTACAGTCTGTTGCTATAGAAACCACACACGTCTTTTCTATAACCTGCATTTTTAACAATAATGTTCAAAAGCAAAGGTCAATAAAAGATTTATGCAACATTACATGCTCTCCTCATGATTATTTTGTGAATCATTAGTTATTAATTCCACTGTTTCTACATTTTTTTTGCCTGAAAATATGAAGTGATGTGATTAATGGTCATATTTAAAAAATAAAATAAAGCATTGTATTCAAATACATTGCATTGTATATTTGATGTCAGAAAAACTGGCACGTGCAGAGTTGATTACATCATTTGAATTGTATGAATTTGTTTTAAATTGACATTTTATTCATGGACACAGAACTGCAAACATCTCACCTGTGTGTCGTATGATTGGAAACACAATTTAAACACAAATATCAGTTTTGGTGTGATTCGCTCTGATAAAGGAAATGATTTTGCTCTTCTAAAGCTTAAACATCAAGTTGGGGTAGACAGTCCTGGTGGATAAGCATTAGGACAAAACTATTCTAAGGAAAAGCAAAGGAATTCATATTAAATTTCAACAGATTAAGAGGGAGACAGCTACACTATTCAAAAGCAGTTTGGTGTAATGGCTAGGAATATAAATTAATATAGGCTACCACTATTACCCATCTTTGTATAGGGCAGTGTTGCTTAACCACTCTTTATTTAAAATGGGAAAGCATGCGTTTCAAAAAGCGAAAAATGAATTTAAATATAAAAATAAAAATAATAGGCCTACAGTTGTAGGAATAGACAGGTTAACATGTTCTTGAAAGTGACTCTGGACAGACAAAAGTATACTGATTGATACTCGTTCGAAACCGCATACTTTCTAAGTTATAGGCACTTCATTTCTTTAAGTACTTACCGAGTGCTATGAGAGTGTACAGCCTGAAGCACAGCCTGAATGCGTTAAGTATGAATGCGATTCGGATATCATCCTCTATGTTGGCATTATCATGTGACCTACGACGTTATAACAAGCACAACACCTTAAAAGATATGAGTGACAGGTTTATTCATCTATCAGTAAGTATCTTGATAATGATGAAACTTGCCCATTTTGTGGTCTTGTTGAAGAAACAGCTGCCCTTTTTTTGTGATTGTAGTATAGCCAATACATTTTGGGTTGATTTCAGCTCTTTTAACTCCACTAATGTGATCCACAGTTTTGTCCTTAAAGCATTTTTTAAAAATGTATTACGAAAACCCAAAATCATTATCTCTTGAATATGTTGTTAATTATTTTGTGCAAAATGTTTTATCCACAAGCAAACGTGGCTTAAATCTCCTTTGTTTGATTCTTTTTCTTGTTGAATTTAACTCTGGTTTCGTCCCTCAGGCATCTAAAAAAATGCATCATGATGAATTATTCAAAGATATTTAACCTTGTCACTGTGCTTTTTTTCTGTGTATATTATCTCATACTATGATGAACACATGCATTTGTTTAAATCGTTTTATCAGAATCAGAAGAGCTTTATTACCAAGTATGTTTACACACACAAGGAATTTGACTTGTGATCTTTTATGTAATTATAAGTTCGGCAATAATAATAATAAAAAAAGAGGGACAGGTGCACTAACACCTCATAACATCACAAACTCAACAATTTAGTACGGTTTTCCTCAGCGTTTGCAATATCTGCACAAAGGATACGTCGGGCAGCTGCTCGAAGATCTCGCCTTTGGAGAAGACTGTTGATTTTATACTCTAAAAATGCAAGTATTACTACTTAAACATTAAGATTACCCCAGAATGAATTGCATCGTTTGCCCACCCCAACACTTACATGCAATAATAATGATAAATGCTAACCAATAATTATATTACTTGTTTTTTTAGTTTTTTAAAAACTTTTTACTGTCGTGACATTGCTATACATAAATATACACTAGTTGAACAAATGCAGTCGATGTGAATACATCAATTTTCAATCAAGCAATTAATACATGAATTAATAAAATATATTTTATTTACTGACAACAATAAACATGAATAAATGAGTAAAGGAATGAATAAAAGCAAGCATCACAATAAATACATATACAAGTCAACAACAGATGAAACAAAGCTTAATTCAAACGTATTGTTCTAACAATCATGTATTTACAGATGGTGAACCCCACATCCTACTGCCATCTCAACACAGCGGAGACAGTTCTGCTGCTGCGCTGTGCTTCACAATCTCGCTCTTCTCAGTGGAGACATCGTTTAGCAAGAGGATGAGGAAGACCATGATGACGTCTCTCTGAACCACACAAGCTAGAAGCAAGAGCAGGGGCACACATGCGGGACAATCTGGCTGCCACTGTGTCTGCTCCAAACATGTGTGTGTCTGCTCTCCATTAAGCACGACTACCTGTAAAACATTTAAACAGAGTTAAACATTTCACAGTTCATGTTGTCAGCTTTACATTTCTTGCCAAATTTCATGTTTACAATTACATGCATTTTTTTTGTTGTAGCTTTATTACTTTTGTAGTGGGCTAAACCACTGAACTGGTGAGCAGAAGGTTGCTGGTTCAAAACCACCAGTATGTCCCTGAGCAATCCAGGTTGTTCCAGGGGATTGTAGGTCCCTGTAATAAGAGCGCTGTAAATCACTTTGGATAAAAGCTTCATGACATTTTTTGATGATGCTTTTTAAGCTTCTGAAAGTCAGCCTTCATTGTATGAACAGAAACCAGCAGAACAAACTTGACCAAACTCACATCCTCAGTGTCTTTTGGTGTTTCTCTAGACGCTCCAGCTGGCTCTGGGGTCACTGAGGATGAAGAGACCACAGCAACATCTGGTCCAGATGAGACAGTAAGAGGTGGAGTGATGGAGCGTCTCATCCGCGACACTGGACCATTTGCAGGATGCTGCTGTGAGCTTCCCATCCTCACTGCTCACACCAGTCTGCAGACATTTCAGATCCTGCAAAGATGCACAAACACAATACAAAAGCAATTATTTTAACAGCATAATGTCATCTGATTTCTGTATTGGAAGTAACAAAATTATCTTATTTATATTTTTGTTTCAGGTTTTCCCTTTTTTTCACAAATGCCACGGTCACCTTTCCTTGCAGGTCCTGCTCCACCACAAACGATCTCCTGCAAATGCACAGAAATCAAGAATCAGAAAAGTGCTGTAATAGTTGTTTGAAATTACAATAATTAATATAAACTACAACTTAAGATTTAAAAAATGTGTATATAGCATTCCTTCATCAGTCACTCTGCACTGGATAAATACACGTGTGTCTCATCTGTCCCTGTAATATCCAGACAAGAGTCAAGTCACCTCTGTGATTTATCTGCTCAATACTGCATTTACATGTTGAAGTAGTTGCTGATGTAACTCGCTTTTTATTCAACACAAATGTTCCTTAAATTATCAATATTACAAATGGACAAATAGATAACTTATGTTTAGTTACTTTATGTAGATTTGTTTGTTTACATGACTTACATTCATCTAGCACGCATACATCACTCAGATGGCTGTCTCATGTCTATTAGATGTGCGCATCTGCAATACTAATCAAAGATTATCCTGTCAGATGTTAAACAGACATTTAGTAATTGTCTTTAAGATGTATATATGGTTTCTCCTGCAAATGCACAGAAATCAAGAATCAGAAAAGTGCTGTAATAGTTGTTTGAAATTACAATAATTAATATAAACTACAACTTAAGATTTAAAAAATGTGTATATAGCATTCCTTCATCAGTCACTCTGCACTGGATAAATACACGTGTGTCTCATCTGTCCCTGTAATATCCAGACAAGAGTCAAGTCACCTCTGTGATTTATCTGCTCAATACTGCATTTACATGTTGAAGTAGTTGCTGATGTAACTCGCTTTTTATTCAACACAAATGTTCCTTAAATTATCAATATTACAAATGGACAAATAGATAACTTATGTTTAGTTACTTTATGTAGATTTGTTTGTTTACATGACTTACATTCATCTAGCACGCATACATCACTCAGATGGCTGTCTCATGTCTATTAGATGTGCGCATCTGCAATACTAATCAAAGATGATCCTGTCAGATGTTAAACAGACATTTAGTAATTGTCTTTAAGATGTATATATGGTTCATGTAAATCCACTTTTGAGACGTATGTGTACTTAATGGAGCTCCTCTGTTAGTTGTGCATTATAAAACGTTTTTACAGCAAAATCACAAATATGCACTACAGGTGCATCTCAATAAATTAGAATGTCGTGGAAAAGTTCATTTATTTCAGTAATTCAACTCAAATTGTGAAACTCGTGTATTAAATAAATTCAGTGCACACAGACTGAAGTAGTTTAAGTCTTTGGTTCTTTTAATTGTGATGATTTTGGCTCACATTTAACAAAAACCCACCAATTCACTATCTCAACAAATTAGAATATAGTGACATGCCAATCAGCTAATCAACTCAAAACACCTGCAAAGATTTCCTGAGCCTTCAAAATGGTCTCTCAGTTTGGTTCACTAGGCTACACAATCATGGGGAAGACTGCTGATCTGACAGTTGTCCAGAAGACAATCATTGACACCCTTCACAAGGAGGGTAAGCCACAAACATTCATTGCCAAAGAAGCTGGCTGTTCACAGAGTGCTGTATCCAAGCATGTTAACAGAAAGTTGAGTGGAAGGAAAAAGTGTGGAAGAAAAAGATACACAACCAACCGAGAGAACCGCAGCCTTATGAGAATTGTCAAGCAAAATCGATTCAACAATTTGAGTGAACTTCACAAGGAATGGACTGAGGCTGGGGTCAAGGCATCAAGAGCCACCACACACAGACGTGTCAAGGAATTTGGCTACAGATGTCGTATTCCTCTTGTTAAGCCACTCCTGAACCACAGACAACGTCAGAGGCGTCTTACCTGGGCCAAGGAGAAGAAGAACTGGACTGTTGCACAGTGGTCCAAAGTTCTCTTTTCAGATGAGAGCAAGTTTTGTATTTCATTTGGAAACCAAGGTCCTAGAGTCTGGAGGAAGGGTGGAGAAGCTCATAGCCCAAGTTGCTTGAAGTCCAGTGTTAAGTTTCCACAGTCTGTGATGATTTGGGGTGCAATGTCATCTGCTGGTGTTGGTCCATTGTGTTTTTTGAAAACCAACGTCACTGCACCCGTTTACCAAGAAATTTTGGAGCACTTCATGCTTCCTTCTGCTGACCAGCTTTTTGAAGATGCTGATTTCATTTTCCAGCAGGATTTGGCACCTGCCCACACTGCCAAAAGCACCAAAAGTTGGTTAAATGACCATAGTGTTGGTGTGCTTGACTGGCCAGCAAACTCACCAGACCTGAACCCCATAGAGAATCTATGGGGTATTGTCAAGAGGAAAATGAGAAACAAGAGACCAAAAAATGCAGATGAGCTGAAGGCCACTGTCAAAGAAACCTGGGCTTCCATACCACCTCAGCAGTGCCACAAACTGATCACCTCCATGCCACGCCGAATTGAGGCAGTAATTAAAGCAAAAGGAGCCCCTACCAAGTATTGAGTACATGTACAGTAAATGAACATACTTTCCAGAAGGCCAACAATTCACTAAAAATGTTTTTTTATTGGTCTTATGAAGTATTCTAATTTGTTGAGATAGTGAATTGGTGGGTTTTTGTTAAATGTGAGCCAAAATCATCACAATTAAAAGAACCAAAGACTTAAACTACTTCAGTCTGTGTGCACTGAATTTATTTAATACACGAGTTTCACAATTTGAGTTGAACTACTAAAGTAAATGAACTACAGCCATATCGCACTGCTACTCATAGATATTGCATATATATGTATATATATATATATAGTTACAAATGTGAGCATTTCGAAGGCTTCTAACATTATGAGAAACACAAATTCAGTCAAGTGTGTTCAAACCTTTGACTTGCATATATTTACATTGTAAGGGGGGAAAAAATACCAGTACCATCTCTGTTAAATTTACAACACAACTCTACAACACAATACATTTGCAATGCAAGTCAACATGTAATTCAAATTACAGGTGAAACACCTGTCAAAATCAACACAGAATCAATAAAGAGAATTCCTTTATATTAACAGTACACTGGGCCCTATTTTATGCAATTTCTTTGAGAGTATATCAATTACAAAACATTTTATGGTGAACATGTATTAAGCTATGTTTGGCTAAGTCTATGGTTGTGTGAGAAGCCTATAGCAAACAGAAAAAACACATGGAAAACAGACACACACAGACAGAGGCAAGAGAAGTTCACTGCCATCTCTCAGACAGAAAGGAACCAAAGAGAAGAACTCTATCAGTAAAAAGCCATTTATGACCATTTATGAAAATCGTTCATTGTTTTAACTTTGCTACCGTGTGTCTTCCACTTACGTGCACAAAATCCTGAAACTTCCTGCATTTATGGCTGTCCTCCTGTCTCAGGGATAATGTTACAGGGAACCAAGAGGAAAACATGGAATTATTATCAGTCTTATCATGCGTTATGGCCTCGCTAATGTGAGCAGAGTGCTTTGGTAGCAGCCTAGCATGTTTACACGAGCTGATTCAGTTCAGAGAGAAACGGCCTGAGAGAGTTTGATTACATGAGAGACACAAAGTATAAGACTGATAGCGTAATGTCTAAGAATAAGACATTAGAGAGAGCAGGAGCATTTCCAGTGAGTTTAACACAGTGATTTGAATGACTTTAATGGACATTGCATATATGTGAAACTTAACATAGACCTCAGTGAGTGGTCATGTTGTAATGTAAGCTGCTACAATGATGAAGGTCATAGTGAAAATCGATACTGTTTTAATGAGAGAATCTATGGGGTATTGTCAAGAGGAAAATGAGAAACAAGAGACCAAAAAATGCAGATGAGCTGAAGGCCACTGTCAAAGAAACCTGGGCTTCCATACCACCTCAGCAGTGCCACAAACTGATCACCTCCATGCCACGCCGAATTGAGGCAGTAATTAAAGCAAAAGGAGCCCCTACCAAGTATTGAGTACATGTACAGTAAATTAACATACTTTCCAGAAGGCCAACAATTCACTAAAAATGTTTTTTTATTGGTCTTATGAAGTATTCTAATTTGTTGAGATAGTGAATTGGTGGGTTTTTGTTAAATGTGAGCCAAAATCACCACAATTAAAAAAAACAAAGACTTAAACTACTTCAGTCTGAGTGTTTGTTGTCCATCAAAATAGATCATACATTTGTATCAATGATCATCATTGTGTATCATCCAGATACAGTGCAACACATGGTCAAAGAACAGATGACAGAATAGCATCAGTGTAGGTTGCACAATGTTTATTAGGCCACTGATATGGTGGTGAATGTTATTTCATTCATTGCCAGAAGATGACAGTTTTAAAACTTAAAAGGTAACAGAAGAGCATAAAAAATAAATAATTGAAATGGTAGTTGCATCTGCGCTACTATTGGAAACCTGTAGCTGTAATCATCCAGGTGTTGTGGGATTTTTGGTTTCACTGCAAATGGAACCATAAACCTTGTGATAATCTTAATTTGTACATTTACATTTGTTTGTAAATTTTTTTAACTATTTTACATTGGAAACATGAAAAAAAGAAAGAAATTTCAGCAACATGTTTTTGCAGCAGTGTATGATTGTCTCATAGTTTACAACCAGACAACATGGAGAATGCTGAACGGGGTAAGTTAAGGCATGGATCATCACACAGTATACAAAAAAAAAAATGTCCACAGATACGTTTATATAGGTTTATTTCATTTGTTGCAGGCAGTGATGTATTCAACAAATGATAACAAATAATAACAGACACAGTTTTAAAGCTTGGCAAGCTAGAAATGAAGAGCAGAAAGAACTGAAATCAATGTATAGGCTACAACTAGCTGAAGTTTGCTGTGCTTTATCCTAACATTACACAAAGAATGCCTGCAATCATTCAGTCAGGGACGACGGCACAAAACGTGCAATGTAAACTAATAAAAACATTATAAACTGTTACGAAATGATAAACAAATGTAGTTAGTGCAACACTGTAAATATCTTTACCTTTAAAAAAAAAAAAAAAAAAATTCCATTAAACCATAGACTGTATAAAGGAGTCCCACGTCTGGGAAACTCATGAATATTCATGTATGCTCCGCCCACTGAAACCTAGGCTTGTTTGTTTGAGATGCGCCTGCCTCACCTGAAATGTAGGCGTTTTATAATATACTATAATACTGAGGTGCAGATAATTGCCACTATTTGCAATAAGTAGTATAAATAGCTGATTAACAGTGTAAACAGAATCTATCACTATTTGCACAGTGTAAATAGCATATTGTTAAAAATACTGCTATTTTCATCTATCTAGCATTATTTTTGGCTGGCCCAGTGAAAATGTTGGCACAATTGACGGCAAGTACAACTGAATGTAGAGTCCTGCTATGGTGTGTGAACACTGTCAAAGGACATTAGCTGACATTCATTGCATGCAACGTTAGCTTTTTATGACATTTATTGACAGTAAATTGAAAAATTGGAACAAACCCGTACTAATTGAAAACGTCCGTTTTTCCATAGATGGATATAATATATTTTTTAAAGTCAAGACAGCCAGCTTCAGGTGAGGGAGTTAAATGATGTTACTTAATGCAGATTTTAGGTGTGGGGAAGAGAGAAGAAAATGAGTGAAAGAGGAAGTGAGGAACAGAATAAAATATGCATTTTGCATGAAAAGAAATCTTTATACTTGTCTTTCTTCCTTTTTTTATTATTTATTTTGTATTTTCTTACTGTTGATAGCATTCCCAGAGAAAAATTAGTGGAGCTAAGAGAATGAGAGATGATACAAAATAAATGGGGAGAAAAGAGAATATTGCAGGAGTAGATCAAATAAAGTATTATTTTATAACATACTGTAATGCCAGTGTTTATCTTTTTATGCTACTCCCTTAAGAAATCTAATATAATGACAGTAAATGTCCTTCTGGTGGCCTGATGTATTCACTTCAGAATACTGAAGCCCATATTTAACTGGTATTGTTGGAGATCCTTGATTTGCAGTTAGACCACTCCATTATTGCATGATTCAACTGTAGCACATTTGTTAGCTAAACATTAAAGGGTTAGTTCACCCAAAATTAAAATTGTCATCAATACGCATGTTGTTCAAAACATGAGTTTTGTATGAGTATGAGTTTCTTTCTTTCTTCTATTGAACTAAAAAATAAGATATTTTGAAGAGTGTTGGTAATCAGCCAGTTGACAGTATTTGACTTCCATAGTAGGAAAAAATACTATGGAAGACAACGGCTACTTTCACCCATTTGGTTAGCAACATTCTTCAAACTATACTCACCCTCAATTTTCAATTTTGTGTGAATTTAGGTTAATTCTATGAACTTTACTGCAGCATGGTATAATACAATTGGTTTTAATATTAGTTAAGTTGTTTATGCCAAATTTCTACCTATTATGCATAGTTATTCACCTTTTTGAAATTTAACATCTGTTCTTGAAACAGCCCAGGAAGCAATTTTGCATTTAAAAGACGTCTAACCGTCTACACACAGCCCAGACGTCTAGGCTAAAACGAGGCTAAATTTGGGCTGTCAGTGAAAATCTAATAGACGTCTAATCATAGCCCAAGAATAGACTAGCCATCAATTAGACCGCTATTAAACGACTACATATATATGTCTAATAGACAAAAAAATGGCAATCCATCCGAACAAATTAATATAACTTAAAAAAAATCTAATACAAATCAAGAGCATGTTATCACACTTAACATTAAAACATTACGGATAAATGACAACATGAAAAAGATTAACCCCTTTGTTGGTTTACTTATTTTAACAAATAAAACAATGAACTTAAAGGAAATGATTAATTATAGGTTTTATTTCTTGCTTAAAATGCCTCCCAACTGCATTCCTCAAGTCCAACTCTGTTGCTGCCGGGAAGTTGGTCATCACAGCATCTGCCAAATAAGAAAGAAAGAAAAAGCACAAGAAAAGCTTGACATAATTTTTTACTTTAATTACACTAATTATGACAGGGAGTCATTCTCTTTTGCTTGGATGCCAACTAAAAACAAAAACGAGATGTATATTGTGTTTTGTAGGCTTTACCTGTCCAGCATCCTTCTGGCACTGTCTTTGTGGTTTCTTCCTTCAACTCTGCACAACTCTGACACCTGAATAACACATGCCAGTGTCAGGCGGGTAGTATTATATGTGTCCGTGTACAAGTGTTTACCAACCTTAAACATTGATGCCCATTGACCTGCAAGTTTTCCATCACTAACCCTTTAAAACTCTTTATTCCAACAGTTTAAGATTTTCCCCTATTAGTGCCCCCCACAATCTGTCTCTGCCTCCAAAATTGTCTGGCACAACTGACTTCATAACACAGGGATAGCTGCTGTAACTAAAAAGTAGCCCAGTACAAACATTAACTGCAAATGTACATGGAATAATAAATTCACCCACCGTTTTATTACATTATGTTTTCAGTTTGTACTGTTTAGGTTTTAATGCTGCATTGCACATCTGAGCTATTTGCACCATTTTAATACTGCTGCAAACTTTTTATAATTGATAATTTTATATTGCCATTTTAAATCATTTGTATTCTTAAGCTTTTCTATCAATATGGAACTTTCAAAATAAATCTTATTGTAACGTTACTTGAACAATGACAAAGATATTCTATTCAATTAGCTCATGCTCTCTCTGTATCTAACAAGCCATTGTTCAGTCATAAATTCAATATAATAATGAAAATAAATGATGGACTTTGTCAAAGATGAGAGCTTTAGTGAGGAAATGTTGTTTTGGAGAGTTTTTTGTTTTTGTTTTTTACCATTGCTGCCCAGATCTTTTCAATTTCCAACCGCTTTTCCAGATGTTGAAACTCCTCCTCAGTTTCTCCAATTCTTCTGAGTGTTTCACTGTATAAATTAATATGGATTAATCTTTGTCAAATCTGTGTTTGTTCTGTTTTTTGCTCTTTCGCATCTTCTTGCGCTGTTTTAAAAACGATTGAGTTTGTAAACACGTACAAATTATAAAACTTTTACGCTATTAAATTTTGCAATTAATCCTCTGAACACATGCGTGCTGAACCGTGGGCCTAGTCACGGATCACTATCAACTACGATCTGCTCCCTTCACTAAAATGTCACGGTTCCTAAACATGATAACAAATAATATAGATAAATAATGAACACACGTCAAGACGAAAACACAGATAGTGTTGGCAAGACCAAGTAGGAATGTCCTTTATCGTTTGTTGTTTGCCCGCTGCTCTCCAACAAGTAAACTTGGTGCTCTCTCGTGTAAAAAAAATTCAAAACACAACACTGATCTCTAACTCTCATGTCTCGCGTTGCCAGTAGTCATGTCTCAGTAGGGCTACAATTGCCATCTAGCGGT